CTCTTACAGTGGCGTGCTTCCCCGTGGCACCGCCCGGGGCGGAAGTCGGGAATGCCGCCCTTTCTGACAAGGGCTCTCGCTCTTTCGGGTCTCAGCTTCAATTTTTTTCCTGAAATCATATCACGAAAGTGTCGGATTCCGACTGCCTCGAGGAGCGCGTTCGATTATCGGGCTTCAATCGCTCCCCTGACGTGAGAATTCTGACTGTCGTAAAATGAGCAAAATATAGGTATATTGTTAGAGGAGTTCTTGGTTGGTACATTGTATTGAGAGTTAGTGGACTCAGAGTATTTGAACTCGAATCAGTGTTCTTGACCACGAGAGAGGATATTAGAAACAGGAACACGCCGACAGATGTCCATTTGAGCCGCGCTTTTCAATCTTGCTTCGTGCAAAACCATAACGGGGCGGTACTGCTTACTCCTGTCACAGTATAACCCGCTTGGACTCTCTGGAGATCGCAGGTTCTGAATTCCTGTGGTTTCGCGACAAAGTGATCATTCACATCTCATGGCGTATGGTCGGAAATGCCGCCTTCTCGGAAGTGCCGCCCGGGATGGACCAGCCCGATGCAGCTTGTCTAAATGGGGTTGCCGGATCTATCGAGTGTACGAGGAATTTAGAAGTCCGCGACGAGTACACTTCAACTTCAGAGGGGGAAGGAGATGGAAGCTTTTTCTCCTAACTCGCGACTTATTCCTCCCAGAACCCGGGGAGACATACGACACACGAGAGCGACAGCGGAGTTTCGATTTGTGGAATATGATGATGATGATGTAGCTACTTTTGTAAATAAGTTTTCCTAGACCGTAATTCTAAAGGTGAAATGAAATCCTCATGCGGGAGAATGCAATTACCCAGTGCTCCAACCGCTTCCCTTGATTGTCGGCGTTCCACAGTCCGAAACAGGATATCGGAAACCCCTTCAGTAGAAGCGATCAGAAGCCCTTGTCCAATATAAGCTTTCCCCGAGAGGCCCTCGAAAAAATGGAAAGCCGGGCTCGTATTGAGAATTTCACGGCATCTTGACCGAGCTCCGCCTCCGGCTTGCAGGTTTAGAGGAGGATTCTATCCGCCTTGCTGATGCTGCTCTACCGGAATCCGGCTGGTGGCTCCGGGCCAAGCCTAACGAGAATCTCGGAACGCTTCTCTGGGTTGTTGACTTCGTTGGAGCGGCGTGTCGTGTGGCTCAGGCTTGGCTAGCCAATCGTCGGGGAGTGCACCTGCGGATCGAGAATCGACCGCCGCACTCTCCATAGACCCTTCAAGCTGGCTTCTGATCGCCTTGCGCGGCATTCGGCCAACAACGATCTGATGCTGCGAGCACTTCGACAGGCAGGGGTTCCCAGCACCAAGGAGCCACGGAATCTCCCGGTGGAGGATGCACTCCGCCCGGACGGCTTGACGGTGGCGCCTTGGTCTCGCGGCAACCGAGTGATTTGAGATTCGGGATGGGACAAAGAAGGATTCCTCCGCGCCGAGTCATCGCGGGAATGCCCGGAACGTGCACGCGGTTTACGCCAGCGGAGAAAACGACAAACGGGCCGCGTACGAGTCGCTTCTCGGCGAAATCATACTGATCCCGATGGAAATCGAGTTGACCGTTGCGTGGGGGAAGCTCGCCCTGGAATTCGTGAGAAAAAAACGGCCGGAGGATAGAGAGCAGAGACGAGAACCCTGGCCCTCTCGCTTTCCCGAATAGCGGTCGAGGTCCAGCGGGGCAATTCGAGGCTCATCGGGGGTGGCGGCTTCCAGTGTGGGGTTCTCGAGAAACTTTGTCTGGGTGTCTAGCTTTTTCTCGAATGTCTCGACTTTAAGTAATATAATAACTATGTTTTTATGAAACTCAAGTTTATTCCAATCTGACCATTTCGTTGATCCGATGCTGTCCATCGCGGAGCCCGGCAGGCGGAGCCGCAGGTCTGAGAGAATCGCCTCGTCGATGATTTTCGCACAAACGGGCTTCCGAAGTGTAATACATGCACGTTTGTGGAAGGCGCCGTGGCGCGCCCTCTTGTGGAACAATCAATAAACACTCAGTTTGATCTCGAACTCCGGTGCGTCCAGACGTAGTCATTACATGGTGTCAGAAGTGGGATTATCGCAAGATGCCGCTCAACCACTCCTTCGAGACTGCACCGTCGGCCTCGACTCGGAATGATACGACCACGGAGAACACAAGTGGAATTGGAGCACCGCAACCGAACAACATCGCGACGATGTTCAACCTCACAGACCTACCGCAGGCGTGGGACCTAGAGACCGATGACCTCGACAAAACGTGGGAGGTGTTCAAAACGGAATTTGAGTTTTTTGAGGATATGTCGCAGCTCGACGCACAACCGGAGAAAGTTAGACGAGCAACCTTCGCGAAGAGCATTGGAGCTTCCGGTCGAGCCTGGTGTAAAGCGATTAATGTGGACTTCAAGTCAATGACGGTGCGGGAGATCATCAAGACGATCGAAGAACGCATCAAGTCAACAAGATCTCAAACACTCAGAGACTATAATTTCTGGCATGAGGATTTGAGACAGCGAGACCGAGAGCCATTCGACAGTTTCCTCGCTCGCATCATGGAGGCGGCTACAAAGTGTGATTTCGTGGATATACACGGACAAATGTCAGTGAGCGATCGTTTGGTGCGAAGCCGTATCATCATTGGCATCGCAGATTCGAAATTTCAAGAAACTTTGCTCTCGCGAGACTTGACGTTGGAAGACTTAATCAAGAAATGCCGTGCACGGGAAGCAGGCCAACAGGGCGCCAAGTCAATGAGAGACCGCCAGGGAGCGTCAGCGTCGACCGCGCGGACGTCAGCGCAAGCAGACGACGCCAAAACTGTGGCGGGAATCAACAGAAACAACAGAAGAGACCGAGCCCCGTGCCAGAAATGTGCGACCAATCACGAAGGAAATGAGTGCTGGGCGAGCAAAATGAGATGCTACCTGTGCAATGGTGAAGGTCATCTGGCCCGCTGCTGCAGAAACAGCGCGAGACCATTGAGATACGGACAGCGTAACCAGAACAACAATTGGAGCGGTAGGGCGAGACCACGCAGCTTTCAGAGACGAGTGAATATGATACAGCAAGACGAAAACTGGAGCGATGAGGAATCATCGGAGGAGCGATTCGAAATCAATGCCATCAGCATAGGCAGTCGTGGACTAGAGTCGATTCCTCGGCTTAAATCAATTTGCAGAATCGACGACAGAGGAAAAGGAGCACAACCCAGGGGCCGTTGGGAGGAAACTGTACAACTCGGGGAGGTGAACGTTGTGGTCAAAATTGACACGGGTGCGGAGGTATGTGTTATCCCGAAAGTTCTATTCGACTCGATGATGGGAAAGAACAGCAACCTAAAACCTCGGGGGACGAGAACACGATTGGTATCGTATTTCGGGGATGAGTATCCATCCGAAAGTGTCGTGGACTTGACGGTTCGCTTCCGTGACCGCTCAGCAAGTGAAAAATTCTTCATTGTCGACGCTCCTGTCGCCTCAACCCTCAGTGGCGATGCGTGCGAGTCTTTAGGGATGATTGCAAGACTTGCAGAAATCAAGACGCAGAGCGATAAGAGTTGGATTGACGAGTTCCCGAATGTCTTCAATGGGAGGGGCGACATCAAGGGGTTCGAATGTCATCTACAGCTGAAGGATTCGTACAACGCGGTCGCAAACCCGTACAGACCTATACCGCAAGCACAGGAAGAAGCTGTCAAGAACGAACTGGACC